ACATAGTCATTGCCAGATAGAATACTGATACCAACTGGTGTTAATAAAACCCAGAAGCCATGTTCGTATGATTGACCAACAGTTTAGCAGAAAAAGAAATAAATTAGTTTGTGTTGAGCACCCACCACAGACCACATAGTGGCTGGATTTTTCCATAGTTTATCTTACTGACTCCTCTATTGATAGAGGGAAATTGACTTGCCTACAGTTGCCCAGCTAGTAAACATTAAAACTATTATTCTAACTCAATTGTTGAGCTTCTAGTCCATTCATTCATTCAACAAATATATGAGTGTACAATGTGCCTGGCACCAGTCTAGATGGTGAATAATGATGCACAAAACAGTGACAGACCTTGTCTCTTTCTTCGTGAAATTCAGTCTAGTCCTTTTCCATTGAAGACCCGCTTCGGAACTCCCCAGATGGGATGTGATGGCCAGGGGTGAGTCTTCAAACCCCTTTAGAAACAACTGTGATGAAACTTTTATTTCCAGACTCTCTATCTTGGGGATTTAGGCTTCTAAAATTCCTTAAGTTTTAATGTCTTTCAGTTTTCAACACATTTTCTTATTTCTTATTTCTCAAAGAAGGTGGTCTATTCCATATTATCTTTAAATATTTAAAAATGTCTTTATTCTTTCAAGGCTCCTTCTGATATTTATTTTAGGCCTTTTCAGGACTTGGGTAAGAGAAATACAGTGGCAGGAGCACCACGGGGTTTGGATTCTGGCCTTGAAACCCTTGAGGGATGGCACTGGGCTAAAGAAGCCTCCAGATTTCTCTTTGCTGCTCTGGATCCAGACACATTTATCAATAGTGACTACAGTGCATAATGGAAAGGGTTGTCCATCATGAGAACAAAGAAAATGCCTTGAGTATTAATTGCTAACATATGAAGATGGCAGTCTGGGGCAGTTCAGTAGAGGGACTGTGTGATAACTATAGCTTAGGTGAATATAATCGGGTGGGCAGTTCTAACCAAGGAAATTGATCAAGCAAACATCTTGAGAAGGTGCTTTGGAATACAATTCAGAATCCATGCTGTTAGCTGCCTTTCATTCTTGGAGTTTTTCCAGGTTGTTTATCCTCTCTTGGGTTGGGGAAGAGATTGGTTTCTGAGCTAGGAGGGTGAAGTTCTTGTTAGTTAAAGGATCACAGTACTTAATAAGTGGTTTTCCCTTCCTGGTCTCCGTGCCCCCCCACCCCCCTGCCGCCAATGAGCAGCAATATTTGGCTGGAACTCCAAACCTTGAACTAGACACTTTATCTCACCAAGTCTTAGTTTCTCCATGTATATATTTACATGAATATAGGTATTTTTATATATATGTGCATGTGATGTAAGATATATAGTATACATGACTCATGGAATTGTGATTAAATGTGGAACTGAACACAAATAGAGTTTTATAAACTCTAGAAAAGTAGTTCTCAAAACTGGGGACAATGTTGCCCCGCCCCAGGGGGGAACATTTGAGACATTTGGGAGTGTCTGGAGACATTGTTGGTGGTCACAACTGGTAGGTAAAGGCCAGAGATATTGCTCAACATCCTACACTTCATAGGACAGAACCCCCCCCCCCCCACACCTGCAACCAAAGAACTGTTCAGCCCATAAGGTCAATGGCACAGGAGTTGGGAAATCCTGCTCTGGGGCATTGCATGGATACTGCAATTAAGTAATTGTGTGATCTCAAGGGGGCACCACATACCTCAGCTTTTAATATGTAAAATCAAGAAATTGCCTATCATAGATGATAGGATATAGTAACCGCGAAATTATAGAGAACAAGCACAAAGCACAAAAGTCAAAAGGAAACAAAAAAATCAAAGGACTGGATCAACGTAATGGAAAGTGCTACAGTTTGGAAAGTTAGTTGGTACATTAAGGGATGGGAATCTAGCAATAAGCAAAAGCAGATGAAAAATATACAATTGTAGGATTTATCCTAAGGAAAAAGGAAAGAACGAGGAGTCACGTGCAGGGGTATTCACTGGAACATTGTTTGTAAAGGCGAAACACTGGAAGGCAAGGAGTGGCATGGTGAAGCTTGTTCCTGTCCTGTAGCATTTCACGGGCTGGCTGAGCTCGTTCTTGTGACACCAGCACAGCGCTGGTGTGCGTAACCCTCGCCCAGACAGGACAGGCTTGGCTGTCTCCTTGTTTGATGCTATAAGAAAGGCTCCTAGTGGTGAACATAGCATATTGTATAGAATGGTTGCATCACTACTGTGTATATCTGAAACTAATGTAATGTGGTGTACTAACTACACCCCCCCAAAAAAATGCTCCTCAATCTGATGACCACAGCTGCTTTCCAAGGTAAGCCAAGGTCAAGCAGAGCTGAGGCATTTTCCCCTTCTCATCCCTGTTTCTCCCTTCCTCTCCTTCCTCCACACTTTGTCTCCCTGTTGAGCCCTTCCCCCCCCCCCCCCCCCCCCGCCCCCGCTCTGCTTCCAGGGACAGGAAAAGCCTGTAATCGCCTCGGGCTGAGGGAAGACAACAGTGAGAGAGACCGTGCACTCAAATCAGGACACAAGCCCTTCTCCAGGTCTGCTGGCTCCATTCAAGCTGTTGTTTCTGAATATTTTTCATACCACAAGTCTAAGCTAATATTTTGGCAGGAAACATGGGTCCAGCTAGACGAGAGAACAATAAGCTGTTTGCTGTGCAGTTAGGTAGCACGAAAAAGGTTTAAACACTTTGCTGTTGATGTTCTGTTCTATTCATCAAGTATTTATGTGTGCCAAAGGGCCACAGTAGGCTGGGTGGGCCAGAGCCAGTGAAGACAAAGGTCCCAACAGGCTTAGAGCTAGTTATGGAGCTGGGTGGTTGCCCAACTAACTGTGTGATAATCAAGCCAAACTCTAGAGCTTTGAGGGAGCAGAGGAGGGAGGACTTAATAATAACCAGCATCAATCACAAAGATTTCTTTTTTTTATTTATCTAAATTCAATTTAGTTAACATATAGTGTAGTATTAGTTTCGGGAGTAGAATCTAGTGATTCAACACCCACATATAACACTCAGTGCTCATCACAAGTGCCCTCCTTAGTGTCCATCACCCAGTTAGCCCATCCCCCACCCACCTCCCCTCAAGCAACCCTCAGTTTGTTCCCTAGAGTTAAGAGTCTCTAATCGTTTGCCTTCCTCTCTGTTTTTAATCTTATTTTATTTTTCCTTCCCTTCCCCTATGTTCATCTGTTTTGTTTCTTAAATTCCACATATGGGTGAAATCATATGGCATTTGTCTTTCTCTGACTGATTTATTTCACTTAGCATAATACCCTCTAGTTCTATCCACGTCATTGCAAAGAGCAAGATTTCATCCTTTTTGATGGCTGAGTAATCTTCCATTGCATATATATACCACATCCCCTTCTTTATGGATTCATCTGTCAATGGACATCTGGGCTCTTTCCATAGTTGGCTATTGTGGACATTGCTGCTATAAACATTGGGGTGTGTGTGCCCCTCTGAATCATTATTTTTGTATCCTTTGGATAAATACCTAGTAGTGAATTACAGGATCATAGGGTAGTTCTATTTTTTAACTTTTTGAGGAACCTCCATCCTGTTTTCCAGAGTGGCTGCACCAGCTTGCATTCCCACCAACAGTGTAAGAGGGTTCCCCTTTCTCTGCATCATCACTAACAACCGTTGTTTCCTGAGTTAATAATAAAGATTTCTGATTTCTGGTAGGAGGTGAGAACATCTATATTCCCATATAAATACGTAAACGTCAATTGAATTGCTGTTGAAGAATAAACTCAAGAGACATTAAGGGTTGTGATTAACACATCTTGGACTTAACATCAGGAAGACCAAGGTTTTCATTCCGCTTCCAACACTTACTAGTTATGTGACTTTGGGCAATAGTTACTATCATTATTATTATTATTATTATTATTATAGCTTTCCGGTCCCATCTAAAAGCTACTAGATTTTAAGAGCAGATAGTAGCCAGAAAAGGGAGAGTGAGCATAAAATATACTGCCAACTGGAAATAATCTAAGAAAGAGAGCCAAATGCTCTATCATGGAGCACTGTTTATAAAGGTGAAAAAATGGAATTGAGTGAGTGGGGTATTATCATTATGCAGTTTCTCCTTGTGTAAAAGGAGGAAAATAACAGGATCAAAACTGAAGAGTTAAATGAGTTAACAATGAGTAAAGCCTAGCATATAGTGAGCCATTGTTAGGATTTCTGTGATTACTACTATTTAGTTATATGTGCACGGAAAATGTTAGGAAATCTCCTTGGAGGCTATATTTTTGGGAGTGGAATAAGAAGACAAGAAATGAGGGATTTATACTTTTTACTTCTTACTATTCTCTTTTTGATTTTTTAGAAAAGATTTTTATTTATTTATTTAGTTAGTTAGTTATATCTTTTATATATAAGACAGAGAGTGTGCGAGCAGGGGTAGGGGCAGAGGGAGAGGGAGAGGGGAGGCAGACTCTCCTCTGAGCGGGGAGCCCGACAACGGGGGGCTTGGCTTAATCCCAGGACTCTGAGATCATGACCTGAGCCAAAACCAAGAGTCAGATGCTTAACCGACTGAGCCACCCAAGGGCCCCTCTCTTTTTGATTTTTAAAAATGGAATAAATAAAATCTTAACAACTACGCTACTGGACTTTTCATAATTTATTTTATATGATGTAAGCAGTCAGGATAATTCAAGCTGTGCATGTATGGGGCTTTGGATTCAGGAATATAAAGGTGTGACCTTTGATTCTGACCCCTGCTGATTAGGTTATTTTGGTCAATATTAAGCTCCTTGAGCCTTAACTTTCTCATCTGTAAAATGGGTATAGTAGCACCTACCTACCTCACAGGATTCAATGCTATAATATAATGTAAGGGTCTTGCATGTGCCTTATACATTGTCAACACATACTGGTTTACTATTTTCATACCATCCCATTATCCCTCCTACACTTTCTTCTCATTTTCATTGACTCTTCTTTAATCACCAGACGAAATTCAAGTTGACCAATGGACAATAGCACAAAAGCCACAGAGTTCATCCTCTTGGGATTAACAGATGACCCTAATCTTCAGGTCCCCCTCCTCCTGGTACTTTTGTTCATCTACCTCATCACTCTGGTTGGGAACAGGGGGATGATGGTGATCGTCCTCTCAGACCCCCACCTCCACACTCCGATGTATTTCTTCCTCGGTAACCTCTCCTTCATAGACCTGGGTTACTCATCAGCAGTAGCCCCTAAGACGGTGGCCACCCTGCAGTCAGGGAGCAAAGTCATCTCCTACAATGGCTGTGCTGCCCAGTTCTTCTTCTTTGTGGGTTTTGCCACTGTCGAGTGCTACCTCCTGGCCTGCATGGCCTATGACCACCATGTAGCCGTATGCCGGCCTCTTCATTACACCACCACCATGACAGCAGGTGCGTGCGCCCTCCTGACTGTTGGCTCCTACGTCCGTGGCTTCCTCGATGCTTCCATTCACACAGCAAACACCTTTAGACTCTCATTCTGTGCTTCTCATGAGATTAATCATTTTTTCTGCGACATTCCTCCACTCTTGGCTTTCTCGTGTTCCAACACACGCATCAACAACTTGGCTGTCTTCTGTGTCGTGGGCTTCAGTGTCTTTTTCGTTCTCCTGGTCATCCTCCTCTCTTACCTCTTCATATACATCGCCATTCAAAGGATGCGTTCTGCTGAAGGACGGAAGAAAGCCTTCTCCACCTGTGCCTCCCACCTCATTGCTGTAACCATCTTCTTTTTTTTTTTTTTCTCCAAATTCCTGGTTTAATTAGGACTTGTTTATTTTGAGAAAAAAGGGTCCCACGGTATCAACTTTAGAAAACAAATCTTAAGACTATTACACTAATTATTTTTCTAGAGGATGCATTTGACATGCCAACTCTCATTCACAAAAATACATTGTTACATTTGTGTTGAACAGCCCCACATAGCTCTCTTCCGTGGGGTATAACACACATACCTCTAACTCAAAGCTGCTCTCAGGTGCTACTCAACTAATGCGGTTGCCTCTGCAGTTAGGGAAGCAACTACTGAGCTCATGTATGAATGAATGGAAAGAACTGTACTCCCTGCATAACAAGAGATTATTTTGGAGACAGTTGATAAAAACCACACATCCTTTTTATTGTTAAGTCATAAAGAGGTATCAAAATTAAAAGCAAAAATTACAGGGTAAGACTTAACTACTAGGAGCGTCAAAGGAAGTGAAAATGGGACAAGGCGCAGGGCAAAAGGAATTAATGTAACATGGGAAGGACAAGGATGGGGAGCGCAGTGAGCATGTACGGAAGATGCTAGGGGAGAGGGTCTGGTGAAAATTTTGATCTTAGACAAGCGCCTAGGTAAAGAAATCATGGGACAACATTTCTAAACCCCACTATGTGCTTAAGAGTCATCCTCGCCATTGGCGCTGTCTCTGTCATCCTCTCCTTCCTCAGCCTCTTTTTCATCATCCTTGATCAACTCCAGCTCCTTGTTTGCTCTGTTCTTTCTCAATTTTTTCCAGGCTTTCCAGTAGAGAATCCACTTTTTGTTTTATCTGGGTCCACTCCTTCTTAATGGTCTGAAGGTCATCACCTTTCAACTTTCCAGACTTGGAAGAAGATCCTCGCTGTCCACTCTTAGAATTGAAGCCAGTTTTGCCCCTTCGTGAGGTGTTTCCTGATACACGCTGGCGTTTTGAAGGAACTACAGCCCGAGCAATAGGAGGAGGAGGAGGAGGAACACGTGCTGGGTAACTATACATCCTGTCATAATAATCTCGTTGAAAGTCATAGTCCAAGTCAAAAGAGCAGCCGTACATCCCCACTGCAGATCGTTTCACACCTGCTTTTCCTCTGTTCACTTTTGGCTCTGTGGCCAGATTAATATCTAAAACCTGGCCAGCAATCATTCTGCCATCCTCTCCTGCCACAGCAGCCCGGGCATTTCTCTCATTAACATACTGAACGAAGGCAAAGCCCTTATGGACAGAGCAACCAACAATTTTGCCGTATTTTGAGGAGATTGCCTCCACATCAGATTTCTTGACCACAAGAGTATTGAGATTCCCACTGAATACACGGGAATTCAGGGAGCGAGGATCTGTCTTGTTGGTAACATTGCTGGCCATTTTCTTTGATGATAACGTTCCTCACAAGGCTGAAAAATGTAGCTGAAGATCAAAAAAAATCTCACAGGAGGGGGAAGGGAGAAGAGATTCGATTCTGAATCTCCTACTCCAGAGTTCTACGTGGAGAAGCCAGCTGCTGCTCGAGGTCGACAACGCAGCCACACCGCTCAGTCTTCGTCTCTCCGCCGTAACCATCTTCTATGGGACTATCATCATGTACCTACAGCCCAGCTCCAGCCAGTCCATGGACATGGACAAAATCGCTTCTGTGTTTTACTCGGTGGTGATTCCCATGCTGAATCCCTTGATCTACAGCCTTAGGAACAAAGAAGTAAAAAATGCTCTCTGGAAAGTACTCAACAAACTTTATCCCAAGTCTGTAAGTGTGAATAGGAAGTAGGCAGGTAATGGTGGGATAAACCTTCCCCCAGACCTCAATGCCATCACGACTTCTGAGGTTTGGCAGATTCCAGACCTTTCTTCTTCAAGAACAGTGGTTACTTCTGCTACTTAGAGGAATCAAGAGAGCAGCACTTGGAAATGTCTCACTCAGGGAGATAATCTTATATTTAGTGAATAACAACATTGGACATTTAAACCCTTCTTGCACTAGTTTCTTGATATGATTCAAAGCAGAAGATCAAAGCATAAACTGAATCCACTGACTTTCCTTTCCCTAATTTTAATTGGAAGAAATTTCCACTCACCATTAAAATTTGTGTAAGGATCACATTTTCATTGTATAATACTTATCGGTTGAAATGCACAGCATTATGCTTTCCATCTTTGGTCCATGTGTTTGAAAGTTAAAGTTTCTTAGGCAGACAAAAGATGTTTTAATATTTTTAATAATTCAACCAGAAGGTTTTAACTCAAAGGACAGGGCACTGGACCCGGAGTTAGATGACCCAGCCTTCAACCCTTCAAAACCCCCAACCCACATCCCTGCTCACCCACTGGTTGAGCACCTTTGTATTTTCTGGCTCCTTCCGTTAATGTGTTGGGACAACTTTGGTAGAAAACAATAAGCCACCTTTGTATGTAACGGTTTCAGTAGATAAATTGTTTAAACTTTAACCCATATCAACATATCTTTCTTTATAGAGCTTGCACTCTGTTCCATGCTTTTGGCCTTTGTCTAACATAATTACCAAAGCTTGCAGAAGGTTTGGAGGAAAAAACATTTTTTTGCATGGGCTATGAAAGAGGAGATTTGTCTTCTGAATTAAATGTTTGCATTTCTCAGCACCCTTAAGTTTGGAGAATCTATTATGGGCACACATAATAGCTTTCTGTGCCCTCTTGGCTTCTGTTTTTTCAATAATTCAGTTCCCCTCTGGATCCCTGTTGCATTGCAATGTTCTGTAATTAGATGCTGCAAGAATAAAAAAGCTTGTAGAAATGTACTTCCTAAATAGGAACGGCACAATGATGCACAGCCCAAGTCCAAGTCCACCTTCAGGTCTTGTCTTGTGTTCTGGATGGTATCCGCGAATGTGTGTGTCTGTGTGTGTGTGTGTGTGTGTGTGTGTGTGTGTGTGTGTGTGGCAGGGGCCCGGGGGTGGGGTGGTGGTGATTAATTTTACTTCTCACATACCAATGGCTTGATGGTGTTTGTAGCCGCAATTGGTCTAAGTCACTACATATTTCATGATATCAAGGTCTCAAAGACAACACAACAAGAATTTTTATTCTAAATGAGAGAACCGGAAATCTTGGTGGGCTAAATCAGGGAGCTCAGAAAGTCAAATTAGTTTTGAGACCATCAAACGCATTAGGCACAGGGCAGCCTCTGTCTGAGGAGAGTGGATCATGGGGCTTGTGGAGAGAAGAGTGAAGAGGGAGTTTTGGAACAGAGGCTGACCTATAGGAGAAGCTTCCTCTAGCACATGGCCACTGCCACCCAGCGAGACCAGGAGCTTCTCCTGGATCCAAGGCCTTGACTACCTGCACCTGCCTCATCCGTCCTCCTGCCACCCGCCCTTAGCAGGGTGGCCTCCGGAGCAACACACGTAGAGGAATAGTCATTAAAGGCCAGCATCCACTTCACATGGAAGCCTTCTCAGTGACTGCCAGAAGTCACAGAGCTCACGGGCACCCGGACTTGGAAGCAGGGAGGGCATTTTGGTCTGTGCTCAGCTCCTTTTCCCACTTGATCCGTATAATCGACTTCTTTCTTTTCCTCTTTCTTCTGTCCCCCCTTTTCTACTTCCCCTTCTCCCTTCTCTTCTTCTTCCCCTTTCTTTGATTGTCAACCCCTTTCTCTCCTAAGCTGTTCAGTCCCTATGAAAAATCAGATTTTATAGTTTGTGTATCGTAGCTATTACTGTGCCTAGCAAGGCATATTTCCGGGTGTGTTTCTTTGTGCCTCGACACCCCCGTGTGGCAGAAACATGTGTGACTCTTCTAAGAGCTAAAGGTCTGATGCCTATATATTTCCCTTTCTTACTGAAGCCCTCCCCAATCAGTGTGACAGTTGACTGCCAATGGGTCTAAGAGAGTACTAGTTCTGGTGTCAAGAGAGGATGAAAATCCTTACTCTTCTTATCAGGTGTCAAGAAAGCCATTTCATCTATTTGACCTCAACATCAAGGTTGAACTGTGAAGATGACAAAATAAAGCATTCGAATGTGCCCAGCATAATGGATGCATATTCGAGACAGTGGAGACTCCGGTACTAGTTCTCACTCGGCTGCCCTCTTGCTCCTCACTTTTGGCTTCTGAGCTCCCTCCCTCCCTCCACCCCATCCAAGCCCAAGTTTTTATTTCTAGCCATTACTTAACTGCCTTTCTTCCAAGCTCCTGGTTCTACATCAGACGCATTTCAAGCTGATATTACATGAGTATTCATTTACAGAAGCTACTCAGAAGGAGACGGCTTGTCGCCAGCAAGACATTAATTTTCAGAATCCACATTCCTGTGGGGAGCTTTTCACTTCCACATGGCAAATCTGTCAAATGGAGACTAAACGCCCATTTGGTTATTAACAACTCCCACCCTCTCTCTGCAGGGATGGCCTGATGAATGGGAGGCAGTGAGTAAGGCTCATGGCTCAGGATAGTAAAGGTGCAGGAAGGTCTCCTTCCCGAAATGGCCAAAAAGAGAATAAAAACACATCAATCAGGACAATCGTTTATATCGGGATAGATTACCCCTTTGAAAAAAGGATTCATGATTGAATTATTCTAAATACAAGGCTCCCTTTGTGCATTAGATGATTTGCTTAGCTTTATGTATGGGGAAAGGAAAACGAAAATATTGGGAGTCTTTGACAATTGAAGCTAACATTACAGAGTCATAACTCTTTAACCTTCAGAGAGCCTTTAAAAATAATCTTGACCAACCCTCTCATTTTACAGTTGACAACCCTGATTCCCACAGTTTAACTCGCTTCAACCCACAGAGAACCACGTCTTATTAGACTCTTATTCATCCTTTACATTGTATAAAGTTCTTGAAGTGTCAAAAGACATTTTTACATTTTTACTTTCATTTTTCACCACGAGAAAGATTTCTGTGCTTCAGTTTTGCAATTGAGGAAACTGGAGTTTTGAGAAGTTAGCTTACCTACCTACCATTAACAAGAGGATCCCAGATTGGAACAGCAGTCTTGCCTTCCCGGCCCAATTCTCTGAGAAGGAATAAGTAGCTTTATATTCTAGTAAGTTTCAACAGAGGACTTATTTCACGTGTAAATCATTTACAGACAGTCTTTCCTGATAAGTCCCTGCAGTGTGGGAAGGCGCTGTGGAGAATACAAACAAATATAAAACTATAAGATATAATTCCTGCATATATGGTGACCGATGCAATGCAACTTTGAGATTAATGACTCAGTATTCAATAACTTTGTCAGCAGGAATTCTTCCTGGATGCCATGGAACTTAATGGATCAGAGCACATTTGTTTTCAGCCTTGAGAGTGGGAGTTGAGTCTGCAGCCTACAGAGAGAGCAAGCCTCAGTCAATGTTCACTGGGCACTGAGCGCAAGCTGCAAGAAAGGCATGGCATGAGATCTGTGAAGGAACCAGGCCATAGTCAATGCCATTCTTGCTTCAGAAGCAGCTCGCAAACAGTGCAGTAAAACAAGGCACATGCTTCCAGATAGCTGGCAATTTGAGGCATTTGTGGTCATGGTCAAGTGAGCAGTATGGAAAATAATAATTAGAACTCTTCAGAGATGAGACAGAATCCTGTGGGCAGCGAAAGCTCCTTGGAGGAAGTGGAATTCGAGCCAAGCTCTGAAGGGATAATGTAGAAAGAGCCCAGAATTCAACAGAGTAGGCTTAGCTTCTAGTCAAAACCCTACCACTTACTAACTGGGAGACTGGCAGAAGTCACTTACCTCTGAGCCAACTTCCTCCTCATTAAAGTGGAGATAGTAGCAGGCCAAACATTCCTCAAGGATGTTGTAGGGTCAAAGGAGATAATGGACAGGAAAGCGTTTTTAGAGTTGCTACCTCTCGCTAATGACAATGAAATTATTAGCAGAGCTGACTGGGGAGTTTCTGACCAACAGGGACCGACCTGAACCCAGGAATGAAGATGGGACTGCACATGGCAGGAGGTTCTGTTGGCAGAGGCTTGTAGGAAAAGTAAACCACTCAGGTATCGAGTTGACGGACCACCAACTCCTCATTCCGTTACTTCTGCAGGGACTTAGGACTTGTTGCCATCCAGCTGGATGAAGGGCCTGGGTCTATGAGAGCAATTGTATCACCATAGACAAATCCCTTTCATTGCAAAACTTCTGTAGGATCCTACCACTCAACTACCCAGACCCAAGTCCAAGAACCTCACCTCCTATTCACGACATGAGATTTCTCTGTTGTTGGTCTGTGATTATTTCATAAGGTGTGTGTGTGTGGGGTGTGGGGGTGAGGGTGGGGGATGGCGTAGGAAGAAGGTGGCTAGTTTTTATAGTATATTTAACCAGGAAAAAGTTAGTGTCTACACATGTGTGTGTATGTATTTGTATATATATATAAAATATTAAATATATTCATAAATATAAATATAAATATATATATACATATCTATTAAAGCTTCTTACACATCAGTGGGAAAAAGACAGACAGCCCAATAGAAAAACACAAAATTGAATCACCCAGTATTTGTTCATGTTGATTTTACTTATCTCCAGTTTGGGGAAATGATAAACACTGCTGATGTGAACTTTTTGTCATGAGTCCCGGTGCACATATGCATTCAGTTCCCTAGGGTATATGCATCTGAATGTGGAACTGCTGAACCACAGGTAAATAATATGGCACCAGTTTTGAAAGTAGTTATACCAATTTATAATCCCATCAACAGTTGTGATGTCCCACTGTCAACGCTTGGTATCACTGGGGTTTTAAATTATGCCAATCTGAAAAGAGGTTAGTGTTTTTTTATTGTTGTTTTAATTGTATTTCTTGATTACTGATGAAGTATCAAACACACTATGGTGGGTTTTCTTTTTTCCAATTCTTTCAGCCATTTTTCTATTGCTATGTAAAAATAAAGCAAATCACAAACAGATCCGAACAGAATTGTGGAATGAAACTTCTGCTTTATTCCTGACTTGGATGGTGTCTATATTGACATTTGCTTCTTAACTATTATTTAAACTCAACCTAGATGTTTTATGCACTTTTTTGAATATATGTATATATACTTATATATGTAAGACACATATATATGTATGTAATCACAGTAAA